TTATGTTTTAATCCAGCCAGTTGAAAAGGCAGACATTCCAACCTTGTTATTTTGTCATTACATTCTGTGCCTGTATACCTCTGTAATCTCTTATCTCATGACCGTGCAATACTACCTTCAGTTGCATTGTGCTGAAAGCCTGAATTAGACTTTCTTTTTAACCAGGCACTGGCTTTCTAGTTATGTAGTTATATTCACAATCTCAGGAGCCTTTTTTGGATCCTGTCTTGATGGAATGAGGTGTTTGCAGGCCTGTTCAGCTACTGTAGATTGTGGAATTAGATGGAAACAGCTGTTAAAATTGAAAACACTTCACAGAATTTAAGGTTAATATTTAAATTAATATTTAAATAGTTAATTTATCAATGGTTATTGGATATCTCTGAGTATAATTAAACTGGCTGCCATAGCAAGAGCTCTTTTTTCCTACAGTTTAATTCAGCTCTGTAGACCTGTCGGTGTGTCTACTGGATTTTATCTACCTGCAGCTACTAACAAAAGTGTGTGGGGCTTGTGTCTACCCGTCATAAGCATCAGATTTGAAAATTTTACTTCTCACACTAAGTTTTGTGTCTGAGCCAAGTTCCATTGTTGTCGTGTTTTGTTCTTACAGCTGTGACCTTCACTTTAATGACACAAGTCTTTGCAAAGAGAGCTATAAGTGCTGTTTCTATTATTGTAATTCAGCTTTCAATGCTGTATGACCTTTGTACCTTTCAGTAATTATTCAGCAAGATTACTAACATTGGTCACATAGAGCTTTTTTTCTTCAGGTGGTCTCCAGTGTGAGCACCATATATTTGCTCTTTAATGAAGTTGCATGCTGAAGGCATTTCTGATTTCAGCATTGCTGCACTTGTCCACTCCAGTTTTATCAAAGTTCGTTAATGTGGCAGTCAAAAGGAAGTTGAGTTTAGATCCCTAAATCTTGACTGTGCTGTGAGATGCCCAGTGCAGTGATGGGCATATAGCTGCCCTAGAAGTGATATACACAGTTTATATAGCAGTTAACATAATGCAAATTAATTTATTGGTTATTCTCACCCCAAATCCAATCACCTTAGAGGTACACACTGGACTTCTTCCTTCTCCTGCGTTGCCCACCAACTGTACCCAGGTCATTAAGCAAAACTAACCCCAGTTGGGTTTTGCTTTGTCGGGGACAGGAATAGCCCAAACTTTTCTCCCTAGGATATATTTTTATGTATTCTACGGGAACTTTAACCCCTTCCACAGTATGGAATAGTTTTGATTGGGGTGGGCCAGCTCTGTTGGCATATCCTCTGGTGTTGGATGTTTTTAGAGCCTTTTACTAAATGTGTATCCAAATGTGTGAAAGTCGCACCACCCATTGCTCTCAGTGTAGTTTTTAACATATTTGTACTTCAGCCATCATCTTCCATACCAGAGAGGCTTTAACAGTTTGGCTTGCTTAACTGCAGCATGTTTCACATTCATGAATAACCTGGGCAATAATGTCCATGGTCAAGTCCACCCCTTGACAACAAGCCCGTCGGTATGTTGTATCTCTGCCTTCATGGCGTGAAGTGCCATGGGCCCACCAGGCTAAAAATAATTCATACTTATGTTGAGTTTGCCAGTGACAATGGGGTCCTTTTGCCACTGCTTCCCAGTCAGGCTGATTTCAGCCTCTAGTACAGTCAGCTGTTGGGATCCCTCTATCACTCCAGAAATACAAATGGGTTCTGCCCATTGATGCTTGGTGGCACATTATGGTTTAACCCTAGCTGACAACTAGGAGCTTCTCACGCACTTCCTGTCCCTCTCTCTAGTTCAGTTGCATTGCCCATGCCCAGGGTCAGAGTACCTGCAGTGCCAGTTGCTTGGGGAGTAGCTTGTCATAGAGAGTGAACTGATGACAGTTTGAGTAGCCATTGTGCTTTTCACTCAAGTTTCAGTAATCACAGTGCTTGTTGCAGGGACTGAAGTAGCAGCAGTGCTTGGTCCAGACAGTTTGAATGGCTGCAGTGCTTGTCAGAGGATGGAGTAGCTGCAGTTAGTTGCTTAACCGTAAACAAGATCTGAATGATGTTGGGCAATAGACTGGTTCCTAGCAGTAGGACCAGGCTGGTTTTAAGGTTATTCAAAGTATATTCAAAATTTTTTAAATTCACAAATGCTATGGTAATTAACGTGGAGGAGAAGGAGGGAGGATGTTGGAAGGAAGGAGGGAAGAGAGGAAGGAAGATGTAGAAAGATGTCTCCCCCATAAGTTGGCTTTTCAAGGAGAAAAGGGAAAAGTGTAGTTATTAATAGTTTCCACTAGATGACTCCTGAAGTACAGAGGTCACGGCAATGCTGAGTTCACATACGAGATTATTCATGACCAATGGTGATATCATATAAACCAGGTCTACAAAGAACAACAAAACTATAATCTTAGCCCAAGCCCCAAAGATAATGAACATCTCCACAGAGAATACATACAGCAAGTAAGGTATTACATAAAGTACCTGTCAGAAATGTGCAGGAACTCTGAAAGTAAATAAGCTGCATTGTGACTTTAACCTTAAACTAATACAGTGAATGCTTATAACAAATTTGGCTTAACATTTGATCAGATCTGTTATTATCTCAACTTTTTGTGCCCCATTTTGGGCATTAAACAGGACTGTCATGGTTCACCCCCAGCAATCAATGAAGCACCACGTAGCTGCTTGCTTATTCCCCACCCTTGAGAACTGGAAGGGTAAGAGTGAGGAAACTTATGGGTTGAGATAAAGGTAGCTTAATAAGTAAAGCAAAAGCCATGTGCACAAGCAAAGCAAACAGGGAATTTGCTAGTTCCCATCAACAGGCAGCTGTTCAGCCGTGTCCAGGAAATCAGGGCTACATAACACATAAGGGTTACGTGGGAAGACAAACACCATCACTCTGAAGGTTCCCCTCGTACACTTTTTCCCAGCTTCATATGCTGAGCATGAGGCCTTGTGGTATGGAATATCCCTTTGGTGAGCTGATGTCAGTTTTCCTTGCTATGTCACCTCCCAACTCTTTCTACATCCCCAGCCTTTTTGCTGGTGAAGTGGTTTGAGAGCAGAGAAGGTCTTGACTCTGTGGAAGCACTGCTTAGCAGCAACTAACAACATCCTTGTACTAAATCCAAAATGGAGCATTGTACCAGCTACTAAGAACAAACTTAACTTAGTCAAAACCAGGGGACATTATTATGCTGTATCTCAGCAAAAGAAAAATATATATGCGTATCCTTTTAAAATAGAGCAAGGTTGTAATGGTTTGTAACTTCCTTCAGGCATTCACTTCAGTTCTGGATTTGTTCCTGGTAAGAATCCTGTTTTGCTTTACAAAGCTAGGTGGTGCAAACAAGAAATACAGTTTGATAATCAGTCAAATAATCAATAGCTGTCGTAGCAGTTATAGAGTCCTTTAAAGAAAATCCATTTGGGAATATTAGTTCTCAGTTCTGACTTGTTAGTGTGCAGGAGGAACAGTAGAGTCATTCCCTTCTCAGGTCTCCAACAAATGTCTAGATGTAAAAATGAACTGAATTTCTATATATATATATATATTTTTTTTAGCTTTTATAACACATCACTATCTTCCTGTAACCAGAATAATAACAATATGGTGGGGATTTAGGAATGGCCTGGTTGTTGCCTTTTTTTCTCTCAAGTTGGGTGCGTTTTCTTTTTACAGCTGAACCAAACTGTTATCTTGCCCCCTTACAATAGCAGTGAGGGAAGATGCAAGACAATTCCTTTTGAAAGACTGTTATTCAGAAGTTTATATTGCAGTCTGCTCTTGGAATGGTGATAAGCCTCTGACTCAGTTTCTTCAGAAACAGTGTCATTGATTGCTTCATTCTCCACCCTGTTTCTGAAAAAAGATCTTTTTTTTCTGTGGCAAATGCCTTATGGAGTTTGGTCTCTTGTCTATATGAGGGGCTTTTCATCCTCGATATGGACTTTTTTTGTGGATTCCAGTAAAAGAGTATCTCATGCAATTTTGCATTGCTTTCAGTTAATAGTAATTTCTTGTCTGAATGCAAAGAAGTTCACAGTGTAATTTAATGCTAAGAGATTTTCATTTGCATTGGACTGAAATTCTTGCCAAGTGCTGTCATTAAGATCTTGATTCATTGTATTTGTAATTCCCTTAGCAATAGCACAGTAAAATCAATTACAGGCTATGCCTTTGATTTTTCTGGAGCAGGAAGACAGAAGTAGTAGTACATCTTACTTGTCTCTATAACGTGATTTCCAGTGTGAATAAAGTAAGAGAAACTGCTGCCTTCTGTCAATCTAATCTATTAATATGAGATTATCCTCTGGCTAAAGGTGATGAAAAGGGTAGTTTATTGTGGTGCTTTTTTTTTTTTTTTTTTTTTTTTTAAGTATAGTCTGTTCTTCTTGTTGTGTTTTGTTGTTGACGGGGTTTTTTTAAATGTAATTTTATTTTGGAAAATATCTAGAGACTGGAAATACGTATGATTTCCTTGAAAGTGTTTTTAAAAACTTGCATCACAATGAGCAGATCACTTGCAAGCATAGGTTGAAAACTGAGAATACTACTCGTCTGGCTATGTATCTTCAATCCAAAATTTCTTTTTACAGACTGATCACTAGTCCGTAAGTTGTGTTTCAAGGTTTCTGCTTACTTATTTGGTCATTTCCTCTGTCATTTGTGAAGATAATGATTTTCTTTTCATTTGGCATCATATGGTGATAGAACCTCTTGGATTTTTGAGTAATTTGTGTTGTTTCTTATGTGTCCTTTCATAGTAGACTGTAGTATTCTGGTTTTTTTGTTTGTTTGTTTGTTTGTTTTTTTAAATTTAATGGATCTGATTCTGGCAATCTTTTCCCCCTTTCTTATTCTTACTCCCACTATTGTCTTTAATTATTATAGGTACTTAGATACTTTTAGGTAAATTTACTGTGCTAAGGTTTTCTTTGCGGCAGCTGGATTTTGAGGAAGTTTGGATGTTAATTTTCAGACTGTTTTCCTGTTTATTTTAGGTCTCTGGATGGCAGACTCTGAAAAGAAATGCTGTTTTAAGAGGTATGCCACATGTAAGCCAAAATATTCTGCACTAATTTATATATAAATGGTACGGTCATACTTCTGAGGATTCCCTCTGCTGATGCTTTCTGTTAACTTCTGTGAATAATAGTTTTCAGTGATAAATTCTATCTGAAAGGTGAAAACTTGTACAGAGGTACTTGGGCTTGTCTTATTGGTAACAGTTTTAGTAGTGAGATCTGTAATACGCTGCTTACCTTTTTGCTTGTTCACCTGACCAGAGCACTTCCTTAGTGGGTGTAGTGGCATCTACTTCATCACAGCATGAACAAAACGGCTATCTGCTGTCCGTATCTCCTGTAGACCTCTCCTGACTGTGTTATTTTTGCTCATTTACCTGTTTTTCACTTGGGAATTTAGTCCAGATGCCTTTGTAATTGTCTTCACTCACTTCCTCCTGGTGTGATATAAGACTTAACATATACAGTGAGAGGCTGACACCATGCCAACAGTGTGAAATAAAAGAGTTCGAACCAAGATAAAGAAGTACTAATCTTTGTGCAAGTTATAATTTTTGCATATTAGCTAGATGGTTGGAACGTTTTGTGTGTTTGGGATTTCCTGTTCCAGCACTTGAAGAGACTGCCTCTTCTTTTTCTATTGTTGGTTATGTTGTTTCTGAATATATCATTGTTTTGCAGCTGTTAGGAAAGCAGTCTCTTCAAAATTGAATTGGATAGTTCTATTATATCTCCCATCCAATTCAGAAATCCTAAGTGGCAGATTTTAGGAAAGTAGGCTTTGTTTGTCTTTCAAAGAGAAAGATTGATCTAACCCAGTCTTTCAGGGCTCTTGTTTTTTGTTTTGTTTGGCTTTTTTTTAAAGATGACCTCTTCATTCTCTTTTAGGCACTTTAAGAAGCTTTCCTATTTGTCTAACACAGTTCAGTGTTGATTTGTTGTGTTCTGACCCCAAAATAATACCCAGTGTGAAGTACTAACAGCTTGTGTTATAAGTGGCTCTGCAGTTATTGTCTGAGATTCTGGTGCTGCTGGTTCTTAAGCTGTGCTCACCAAAGTCCTAAAGAAAATGAGGCTAAGAAAAAGGGAAGATATTATTGCTGTTTGCGAGACACCTGTGGACAGAAATCAAGAAGATAGTGCTGCACTGTTCTTGGAGGTACACAGTTGTAGGATGAGAGGGATTGCACACAAGTTGCAACGCAGGGCATTCCTGTGAGACAGTAGGAACACTTTTTGCCGATAAGGGTTGTCAGGCCCTGGAACCAGGTTACTTGGGTTGTGGAATATGCATTCTTTAAGGTTTTCAGAATGCAGCAGGAATAGGTTTACAGCAACTCAAATTATGTGGGCCTACTTTGAGTGCAAGGTTGGATTAGAGCTGTTTGGAGATTACTTCCAATTTACATTATGCTAAGAATCTATGTAACCTGCTAGACCTGCTGAGGGGGCACTTTGCATTTTTACATTTCCTGTAAAAACAGGTAAGGCTCAAACTGGTGTTGTGGGGGGGGGGGGGGTTGTTTGGTTGTTTTTTTGTTGTTGGTTTGGGTTGGGTTTTGTTTTTAAAGAAGCATCTGTAGTTAAGAAGTGTTTTGTGATTACAGAACTAAGGAATTAGAGTAACTTCATCCTATTCCACCAATATGGTTTTGGGGAGAAGGATTGTGCTTTGGCACCAGTTTCACTTACTGGCTAGGTTAAGAGTGAGAAACTTCAATTGTTTGTCAAATGTCATGGTTTAGTCAGGGGATTGAGAGTCTCAGGAAGTTGCCTGCAGTTGTTACAATTTGTTTTAGGTTGTTTGCTGTAGTAGGGACTATTCAAGCAGGCAAATGTGCAGAAGAACTAATGATCTTCTGTGTCCTACATATTTGCCTTAATTGGCTTTGGCGTTCTAGAAACTGAATTAAGGTATGGTATTTCTGTGATCTGTTAACTGCTGTAGAGGCTTAGTGGGAGCCTAAGGTTTGCAGTGTTCAACTGTGAAAAAGGACCAGTTAGAGTTGTAAAATGATGTTGTAAATATTCAGGTTATGGTCTGTCCTCTGAAGTTGCCTTCCTTTATATAGGATAACTTCATTGCATGGTTCATTCATTATTCTTACAATATTATGTATGCCCCATCTGAATTGTTCTTTTATTTGTTGCAGGGTTTTTTTGTGTGTGTATGGGATGTTTTGTTTGTTGTTGTTTTTTGGTTTTGTTTTTTGTTTGGTGGTTTGGTGTGGTTCTTTGGCTCTTCTGCCTTACTAGTGCTTGGATTCAGTCTGTGGTGATCTGAATACCTTTCTCTGAACTTGCCTAGGCAAGTAACTACAGTTGTATTGATACTGCCTTTTAAAGCATTCTTGTAGCTTAATTTCTCTTTTTCCTCTCATGAATTACATTTTTCATTGTGCTTTCTATGTAACTGGTGATTTTAAGAAATCCCCTGAACTCTTCTTAGAGTGATACTCAGTAGCTCTTCCCCTGTTCTATTAACACCTACTTGCTTCATGCAGTAGCTTCCTTAAGTGGAGACCTCATGCATCCAAGGGTTTAATGTGTGACTGGCTTTCACTTGGTTAGAAATAGACCTGTAAAATACAGTTTAGAAAATTAATTCAGTTTCCTAGCATAGATTCTGACCTACCTTGGGTGCTGCAAAACCAAGTAGTGCTTTTATTCTTCTGTAATGGCTAGTTACTGGCTTAATTAAGAAACCTCAGATACCATAAAATAAATTTGGGTTTGTGTCATTTACTTCTTAGGAGTGAGAACTGTAAGTCTTTGTAGTCACTTCTGTATAGGACAATATAGATTTTAGTGGGTGGGTGTTGGATGCGGTTTGCATGGAATATAAAGTACTTTGCCAATGTTGGTGTAGTTCAGATTAGTGTGGAATTTTGCCTTTTAGTAATTCTTTTTGCTTAATACTACTTTATCAAACATGGGAGTATAGGGAGGCAGAGACATTTAAAGAGCAGACAACCCTGTTACGATATTACTATGTGAAATTTGGGGAACATGTTGGTTGCTGTTCATGTTTTGTACTGAAGTGCAATTTAAATTACGTGAAAACTAGTGTTTGTCAACCAGGGATAGTGAAGTCACTTTAATGGAAAACAGTGTAATTTGTTGACTTCTGCAGCACAGGAAGCAAATGTAGTATGTTGTAAGCTAGTTTGGCCTGCTCTGTTCATTAACTCAGATGCTGTCCAATTGTGGTAAGGGCACAATTTTCTTTTCAGTGTATTTTTAAAAATAAAATATAGCTGTCTTTAAAAGGCAGCTGTTTGTTAAGGCATGGGTATTGTGTGGTGTTTTCTCTAAAAGCAACTGGTTGCTAAAAAAAGTTAGATCGGGTGCTTAATGTTTAATTTTGGATTTAACTGCCTTTTAACGGTAGTTACGTCATCTTTTTCTCTGATCTAATTCAGATTTTTTAGTACATCAAACTGCAGCTCTGCCAATGAGACTATTGTAGCTTATAATGTGTTCTTTAATTAACTTGAATTTAAACAAAATGGTATTTCGAAAGGTTTACTTCTCAGCTGTCTTACTGAGACACAGCTTCAAAATTATGCTTTAAATATACTGGCACAGGGTAAACACTTACGTAAAAAGCATGGTTAAACCTACTATGCCAAATCGTACCTAGTAATTTTTACCTTTCAGTTATCAAAATGCTTTCAGTTCTCAAACAGCTTTGGGGTTTTTCTGTCTCCAAATTTTTGTGAATGTTTCCTCAACACTAGGCTGAATGTGATGACCCTTAGATTGCTAAAATAGTAGAGTTTCACCTTAAATCCAAGTCCTGTGGTTGGTAAAAGGAACTCATTAGCAACATTCTATAAAGACTTTTCTGTGGTGTTTAAAAGTTTAACATGCAAAATAGTGTGGTTTTTACATTGTTTCACTTCTGAGAAGGTCTTTTAAAGTTAGTGCTATCATTGTGCATGCACATGCATATACAATATATGGGAGCATAAAGCTGTATAAACATCAGCAGGGTTAATTCTGGTTGATCATTTATTCCCAAATGACTTTGACCTGGTCACTGCAGATTTGTTACTTCATCGTATGTCTTTTCTGCAGACACCAAAGATGCTAACAAGAAAGATTAAGCTTTGGGACATTAATGCCCATATAACCTGTCGTCTGTGCAATGGGTACCTGATTGATGCTACTACAGTAACAGAATGCTTACATACCTGTAAGTAGAATTATAATTAAGTTATCTTTTTTTTAACTTGATGTGCAAGTTGTTTTAATGATTTTTAGTTCAAATTAAAAAAGTCTGCTGTGCATCAGCCAAAATAATGTGTGCTTTACTAGACACTGCTTTTTTAACAAAGCAGATGAAGAGAACATTAAGGCTGTACCGCACAAACTTGAAGCCATATACAAATTTACTGAAGACAGTCCCACTGCCTATGTTGTTGATGAAGATATTAAAATAGTACTAGTAACAGTACGGACCCCTGAGAGGGTCACTGTTCTCTATCTGGACATTGAGCACTGCTGTCTGGATGTGACTGTCCAGCCAATGGCTTATCAACTGAATATCTATCAATCCATTTCTGTCCAATTTTGAGAGGAAGGATGTTATTGGAGACCATGTCAAAGGCCTTACAGAAGTCCAGAGAGATGACATCTTTGACTCTTCCCTTGTCCACTGATGTAATCACTCCAGCTTAGAAGGCTACTAAGCTGATCAGGCAAGACTTGCCCTTGGTGAAACCATTGGCTGTCTTGAATCACCTCCCTGTCCTCCGTGTACTTTAGTGTAGTTTCTGGGAGGCTCTGTTCTATGATCTTCCTATAATGAGTGACTGCTTTAGCAACTTCTGCAAAGAAATTTTAAAAATACTAGTGGTCTATGCCAATGCATTTTTTTTCTGGTGTAAATTTAACTGTTGTGTGCCCTGTAAAAGTGAGACTTAAAATGGCACCTGGGTATCCACTTATTAAAAGTTTTCTTTTCTTGTAAAAAGTATCCAATTTTGGAATATCTCTTTGTGTTGGGTTTATTGCCACTGTATGCTTCTCTGTGTGGCCATGCCTAAAGCAAATAGGCTTAGTATCTTAATGGCATACAGGCCCTTATGATAGCGTCTATGGAAGCTGAATAGTGTAATCAATATAATGGTAACCTGCTAAGAGTTTGGTAAGCTACTACAACCTTTTGTTATAGTCAATTCCAGAGTGGGATTGTGTTTTGTATGCGTTATTAGGAAGACTCTGGCTAGGTACAGTTGCCTCATTTCTGCGCATCATTTCCCTGCATCAAGAACATTAATGAAAGACACTGGAAACTACTCTGCATGATTTGGCATCATGCTTGCATGATGTAAAAAATTAACTTTGTGTACGTTACAGTAAGGTGTGTTTCTCTGACTGTATATAAACTTAATTTTTTCTGTTATGCATATTTTTTTTAATTATGAATGACCTTATTATTAGTCTGTAGAAGCTGCCTAGTGAAATATTTGGAGGAAAACAACACCTGTCCGACCTGTAGAATTGTTATACATCAGAGTCACCCGTTACAGTATATTGGGTATGTATGAAAGCAGAAGTGCAACTATCTTCACTTTAGACTGTTTCAACCTCTTTAATACAGCACAGCTTTTTCCTAATTTTTTTTTTGCTTATCAGCATATTAAACGTTTAAAAGGATGTTTGAAGGTGATTGAGGAAATACAGAATCAAGCTTTGCTATGAATTTGCAAGTCCTTGAGATCCGTTAGCTCTTGTCAGAGTTAAAAGCAAGCAAAGTATGCACTTTACTAAATCCAATTAGAACTCGCACAAATTAAACAGTAATCTCTCATTTTGTATTTGTGTCATAAAAGTTACATAAACAAAACACTTGTACAAATCATACTTTTACAAAGTGTTCAAAATAGTCTCTGTTGAGCACTGCTTTTCAGTATCCAACAGGAGAGAAAAAATTGTTGGCTTTATTGTTCAGCTGATCTTTCAAAGGTCTGTTTAGTACATAGGAAAAGGTAAGAGCATGGCAGCAGCAAAAATATTAGATCAGTGGCTTAGATAGAATGGAACAGTCTTGTCCTTTGTTCTATTTTGATTCTTAGACAGACTGCTCTCACTTTCTGACCTAACATGAATGTGGTATTGTTTGTTAATCTGTTCCCTTTTTAATTTCTTTTTAACTAAGGTTTTGGGTTTTTTTTGTTTGGTGGTGTTGTGGTGGGGTTTTTTTTTGGTGGTTGTTATTGTTGTTTGTTTTTTCCCTTTTGCTTTCAGAAAAGACATTCCTTTTCCTTTAGTGCTTTCCTTTGAAATTTACTAAACTGTAGTAACTTCTGATGAAAGTCCATTGTGACAGTATGATTGCAATAGTTCTTGCTGCTATTAAGTAGTGTTCTGTCTTTTTGTACAGAGTTTGTTTTCATATGTGGCTGTTTCAGTGTGCCCTTCTTAGTTCCATAACAACTTCTGAAGCAATGTTTATAGAAAATGAGTTTGATTTCTGTTCGCTTTTACAGAAAACTGTTGATGTTCCATACACGCTTACACAGCTCAAGCTGATCCTGAATCGGGAGCCTGAAACTAGCTATGCCGTTTTTGCATTTGAAGAATAACAGTGTACACTGATAATATGTTCTATGATACAGTGGCAATACCCTGTTAGTGTACGCTTTGAAGGGACAAGCAGATGCTGATAGAACTAATAAAGTACACTTAAGATAGCATGTTTGTCCTAACTATTCTGTGATTCTGTGTAAAAGCCATTTTCTGTGCCAGAAAGGGCCAGGAAACAGCACCAAATAGAGAACTAGAAAGGAATTTGCTACTTGATTTTTGTCCTTGAATACACTTCAAAGGAAGTATTTTATCTGAACTAGTTATAAAATGCTGCCAAGCCTATTCTGTGTATACACACACACATTAATAAAGAATTGACAGGTGATTTGTGTCTTAAAACGTAGCTTTGCACTCCTGTTCATCTCCCTGTCTCTGGAAAATAGGTAAATGAAATGCGTCTTCTATTTCATGGTTTTGAATGCTGTTAAATTCTCACCTCTGACCTAATAGTGATAGCTGATTGTCCTGGTTTTGGCTGGTATAGAGGTAATTTTCTTCCTAGTAGTTAGTGCAGTGCTGCGTTTTGGCTTCAGTCTGAAAAGTGACCTATTTTAGACTAAAACAGAATTTTGTCTAGGTGAGCTGGGAATTAAAACCAGGCCTGCTGCTCTAGTTTCAGTAGGATTATTACCTTTCTTTTATTTGAGCCACACGGCAGGCTTCTGAGCTATGTAATGTTGCTCACAATTAAAATGTTGGTTTTTAGGCCAAAGTAAGATTTTTATTGTTGTGGTCTTTTTCTGTGAACTGTTTTCTTCTTGTTTTGGAGAAGGTTTGTAAATATAACTAACTAATCTGGAAATGTAAGAGATGAGTCTTGTAGGGTAAGAAACAGACTGTTATGGATTCTTTTGTGAAAAAATGAGTTTACTGCAAATTTGTCAAAGGATTTTGAGGGTGTTAGTGTCATACTTACTTTATATAGGCAAGTATGTCATTTTCATCATCCTCCGTATGTCCAAGACTATTCTTCCTCAAACTTCCATTGGGTTTCTCTCTTAGCCTGTACTTTTTCATAATTTGTTTCATGTTACTGTTCTCTCTTGTTTGACATAAATACTGACTTGAGAATATTAAGTCTTGTAGGTGAATTTAGAGATTTTACATCAATTTAGTACTGGAATTTTTTTTTTAAAGAAATGTTTTGAATCAGGATGATTGGCTTAAACTTTTGATTTTGGTTTTTTTTTTCCTGCTAGTCATGACAGAACAATGCAAGATATTGTTTACAAACTTGTGCCAGGCCTCCAAGAAGGTGAGTTGTGGTCTGACCTTCTTTAGAGATCATTTTGCACATACTTCTTTAACACTTAAGTTTAAGGTGATGAAAATGATGGGGGAACACTGATGCAAAATCTGTGTCTTATTTGTGTAATTTCTGGTGATTATTTTCATACCTGTGCTAGCAGCAGTTTGGGGGTGGTGGGATGAAAGACAGGGTATTTCTTCTAAAAGTAGCATTAGATAAAGCAGAATAATAACAGTTTAGCTTTTGAATGTTGGCACACTGTAGCTGTCGTTTGTTTTTGTTAAACTGTGTACTTAAACCTGTTGTGCCAATTTTCTAGGATTCTCAGAGGTAGAATGTAATGCAGAGCAGCTTTTAGTTTCAGTTTCTGCTACCATGTGAATCCTTTTTTAGCAGGTAATTTTCAGTTTATGTTTTCAAAATCGTTTTTGAGGCTGGATCTATTCAATTAAATAAGTCCTTTTAGTATCTGCTCAGTATTTTTTGTCTTAATGTATGTTACCACTTCAATTTAAATGCAGTATTTTAAGTCACTTGAGCTGCAAACCAAAAACATAAAGATCAGTAAGACTGAATACAACATTGAAAAAGTTTTCTCACATACTGAAAATTTTAACTGTAAGTAAAAACTGAGAAAGTTTTGACTGTGGGAGGGCTTCATAATAAGGTATAGTATTTTAAATACTCTCATTCTAGTAAGAGTGCTATAATAGTAGCTATACAGATGATTTTGTAGTATTCTAACTCCAAAAGATAAGATGAGGTGTGTGTAAGAAATAGCAGAGGTAGAAGAACAGTAAATCCTGACAACACCACTACTTGTTGGGAAACCTGTTTCACTTAAGAGGAAGGGATTTGGAATAACTTCGTAAATATTGCATTAGAATTTTATTACAGAGATTAATATTTACAATTTTAAACAGCGGAAATGAAAAAGCAAAGGGAGTTTTATCACAAACTGGGCATGGAAGTTCCAGGGGACATCAAAGGAGAGACATGTTCTACAAAACAGCACCTAGATGCCCATCGAAATGGTAAATGGTCCTTAATTTATTCTGTCTTGCACGGGTGACAGCTAGTAAATTGATGAATAGAGCTGTTGGAGGTAATGTGCCTAGCTGGTTTATTACAATTACAGTTGGTGTATAACACAAAAGGGTATAATGAGTGTAGGATTGTTGCTTTGTCCCATATTTGTGTACAGAATCTTTCTTTTCACCTGGTTGTAGCATATGAGTGGAGTAAGGAGATTTCCATAATAGTGCCTACATGGGGACTCTGTGAAACTACCCAGCTTCTGGGCTGCTAATGGTTGAACTGAAGGTTGTGTATTGTATGTATGTATTTCTCTCTTTCACACTTGGCAGCTAGTGTTACCTAAGTAGACAAGCACTGTTTGGAAGAGCAAAGCTTATTTTATATTGAAGTCCTGAACTGTGCTGTTTTAATCATATCAGCATTACAAGCTGCTGCTGAGTGTTATCGCATATATCTGGTTTCTTATATAAGGTGAAACAAAACCAGATGAAAATTCAAACAAAGAAACTTCAGAGGAAAAACAGGAAGAAGATAATGACTACCACCGAAGTGATGAACAGGTGAGCTCATAAGGGCATGTTTTAGTTTTATCTTGTAGTTTAGCTTTAGTGCTTTGGTAGGCAAACAGGGAAGAAAAATAACTGTTTCAGGCTACTTTTTCTGTCACCTGATGCAAACAAGATAAAGTGTTGCCCAATGCTTTTGTACAAGCATGAGTTCCATCTCTGTGTTTTGTCAGGAATGGAGAATATGTTAAAAGACATTTGCATTAGCATTTGATAGTTCTGACTGCTTGTTCACAAGTTTCCAAAGTATTTATTTACTTTCAAAATAAATTCAGGTTATTTGGCCCACCTTGTGAAGGAGTATATCCCAGTGTGTTTGTGATGCATTCAGCTGAATGTGTATTAATAATTATGAATGAAGCCTTTTGCACTTTCACTATCTTACAGTTTATTTTGTTTTAAATCTCTGATATAAGGACAGTGTTATACCTGTACCATAAAAATAGTATGAAAGCTGGTAAGTTCACCACTGGGTTGTAAATACAAAGCAGGGTTCAAAGTTAAATCTCCTTTTCGAATAAACAAGCATTCCATTTTAATTTTTCCTGTTAATGTGTGCCCAAGGCAAATTAAACTTGGATGTTTTATTTTAAATTGCAACGTAAGAGAACTTTGAAAACGATTGTCCCTAGTACTAAATCCTCTCAGTGGATAAAGTAAATCATCACAAAAGAGTTTAATCTGAGTAGTGAATAGCTGAATGAGAAAAGAGTTGAGAACTGAAGCATAGAAATGAGAGAGAGACACCTTTTGGAGGGATAACGTTTAGAATTTTGAAAATTTCTCACATCGTTTGTGTCCATTCTTATTAAACTTTAAGTCCCCTTTTAAACATCTGTTAAAATTCTGTTTTAAACTGAATTTAGCAATTGCATTAAAAGTAAGAAGTCACATTAGAAGCAGTCATTAAAAATAGGCAGCGATATTCTTACTGCTTGTCTTACTCTAGCTCTTGATATAGGGTCCTCTTGAGCTATTGGCAGCCAGTGAATTTGTACGGAGCAGTCTTGTTCCGACATCAGAAATTCTTTCTTGAACTTTTTTGTCTAGATCTGTTTTGGTTGCAGTTTGGTTTTATTACTAAACTGACCAGATGTTAGGAGATGTTGTGTTTTGTTTTTTTTAATGGGCATTTCAGTTTAAGAAATAGTAGTACCGTACTTTTTCACTTTGTTGTCTTAATGAAAACTGCATATGGAATACATAGAGGGGACTGCAGAAAATTGTTTCAGCCAACCGTGTTTGCTTTTTCGTGAAGGTAAGCATCTGCTTGGAATGCAATAGCAGCAAATTGCGTGGACTGAAACGAAAATGGATTCGTTGCTCAGCACAAGCAACTGTCTTGCATCTAAAGAAGTTCATTGCCAAAAAATTAAACCTTTCTTCTTTCAATGAGGTAATATTTTCATTTTTTAAAGTTATTTTGCAGATATAAAAGCTTTGTGAAAAGTGTGGGGTTGTTCTTTTAGTCTGATTCTATTTTCAGAAAACAGAAGTATACACTATTTCTTTAATTATATGTTATATATCTGTTTTCCTTTCTTGAAGCTATACAGGACTTGCCCCTTAGTTTGCTGTGCACCTTTTCATGTCTATAGATGAATAGTTGAGCTAAAAGTCTTGGCTGTGTGTTTCCATGTGTGTTGAAATGGACTCTAGCAAGGTGCTTTGTTTGACACCGTGTGGTTGGGTGTACCCTAGCCCTTCAGAGATTCCACACACAGTGCAGCGGACAGGCAGTAGCAAACACTTGCACTGCTGGAGCTCAGATTAAGAGAAAGCACCACAGGTATTTGTTCATGCTTTCAGTGAAGCTCAGCCTGAAGTTTCTGCTTACCATGACTAGAGTGTTATCAGGTATCTACTTTTCCCTTCCTCTGCAGGGAATACTTGGAATCATGGGAAGAATTTATGGTGAAAGATACTGAAAGAAAGGCAATTCTTTGCACTTTTAGTTCAGATTCAGAATTACCAGCTGTAAAACATATGAATGCAGCCTCTGTTTACCACTTTGCTGGGTCTTGGTCACAGTCTTTAGACATCTCAGGTGACTCTGAGCTTGACATCTGCCAACCTCACATTATGTCACTGATCCACTGAATTTCAGTAAGACTTTTCAGTCAAATCATCTGCTTTCAAATCCATTGTTAACACTTTTCTGCTCAAGCTTCTCCAGCAGTCAGTTTGCATCTGTAATCACTCTTCCTTCTAGCTTCTGTGCACTCCAAACCAACACACTGTCTTATGGTCAGAGTATGTCCCCAAGCTCTGTTAGCCTTCTTGAGCAAAACCGTATTTCCTATTGTCCTCAGCTGGCTTGGAAGTGGTTGACTGCTGGTGTAGCACAGCATCAACGTAGCCACCATCACTGTTCAAAAGGGAGTATTTGTGTGTTTAAGCTCTCCATTCCACTGTGTTAGTCTGTGCTAGAACAACTTGCCTGGCTTTTATTATAGGAAAAAGTTTCAGAACTACTGTTTATTCCTTTGCTATCCCTCCCTACCTTCTTAAAGAGTACATAAATTGCTGTGTAATCAGTGTACAATTAGCAAGGAACAGGTGCACAGTAGAAGGATCTAAGCTCGTGGGCATATGGACTATTGCAGGTTTGAGCTATTGCCAGTTAGATGAGCCATGTATGTGAACTGCATGCCCAGTAAGGCCTTTTTTTGTTGTGTGGTAAAGCGGTATTGATGTAAGTCACCCTGGTGGAGCTTAGTGTTTTCATGCATGTTCCCTGTTTTAGTGCATGTTCAGCTGATTAGGACTCATATGATCTTCATGTTTTTGTGTTTATATCCTCACTGCTTCTAATGTCGAGAGCTTTCAGCACTGAGATAGTTAAGTGAAAAAATGGATATTGAGTATCTGCAAAGGACCCATAAATATAGTGTATGAGGGAGGTGGCAGATTGGTTTGGGGTTTTTTTTAATGCCTCCTTGTAGCAGAAAGCCACCTGGCTGATGTCAGGTAAAGAATTTTCATCATATGTTAAATAAGAGAGCTGTCTTTGAGATCTGTGAATTCTGTTTCTTTGATCATTTATGGGGCCTTTTTAAAAGTGAAGCTTTCAGGAAAGGGCATTAGTATTGCTTGGAAAGCTAAACCAGTTAAGTCAGTCAAGTCCAGTCCATGCAATATTTCATAGGTAGGCACAGACATAGTGTTTTGGCACTCTGTGGTAAGAAAAGACATGCTTTTTCTTTCCTGGTATTCTTTTTGTACCAGAGCAGCTGCAAGATGGCCTCTTCCAGTGTCTTCGAAGAAAAATAAATATTGACAAACATTTGTAGTATTATCTGAAATACGTTGCTCCATGTACATGTCCCAGTGAATTAACTGTTGCCTTTGTTTTGTCAGCTGGACATATTATGCAATGAAGAGATTCTTGGCAAGGACCACACGCTCAAGTTTGTAGTTGTTACTAGATGGAGATTTAAGGTATGACACAGTGGTTCCTAGTAAATCATGAAGTGGCCAAATAAAATGTTTCTAAAACATGGATCACGTGGAACTGTTTTGGAGTAACTGCAGACTCAGTCAAAAGATTCTTCAATAAGTATCCCTGAACAATAAGTATGCCTGAACAATAAACATCTCTGAACGCCAAGGATTGATTTTTGTTTCTAAGAAAATGAAGGAAAGAGGAATTAAGTGTTAATTGCAAGGGGAAAGGGAACACTGCCTCAACTGTCAGAATTGTTATCAAGTCTGGCAAAGGAAGTGGAAGCCACAAGAAAGTATTATTTTTATCTATTTTAGGGAAAACTGGTTTTAATCCACATAGGTGGGGAAATCAATTGTGATGCAGGAAAGGCAGCAAATTTCAGCACAGTTCTCTTGTGTACCTCAAGAAATTTCTTTTTCTAAAGCAGAGGCAGTAACTGCAGTGCTTGTCTGCCTTAGTTAAGGAAGCTTCTAGTAGCATTTAGTAGGCATAAACAAGGCCATTTAAAAATGTACAACTTTGATTTGCTTTATGTGGTTTCTTTAAACAACTTTCTTCAGACTGAATGGTAAACAGTGGAGCATTCATTCTGAGTATAAGCTATCACATTAATAATTACAGGTCAAGTAAAATGAGTTTAAGAATGAATTGCAAAATTGAACACTTAGGAGGCAAGTCACAGAGTCAGTATATGTGCATTTGGGGATGTTTGAACTAAGAGGTAGTATTCATAAAGGGCAAGCGATGCAGTCGAAGTTTACAGTGTACACTGAAGTAGAACCACTTGATGGCTTTCGATGCATATCTAGAAGAGGTGCGGGTGGGAGCAGGGAATTGTTTTTTTTTGTCTTGGCATAGAAGAATCAAATTATGCATATCTGCAAGTCTGCTGTTTGCCTTGATCATGGAAATCTAGGCAACTGTGTGTCAGTTGCCTTTTCAAGTGAAAAAGGTGAGGGATGTAAAATGTAACTGGAGGGTGGGAGGTCTAGAACAGACAAGAGGAAGCAGTTCTTGACATGAGACACAGAGCTCCTTCATGCAGGATGTTGTGTATGGTAAAAGTTTTACCTATTCATAAAAAAGCAGTGAATACACTCTCAGAAGAGGAATCACATGCGAGCTGCGTGATGTGAAGCACCACATGCGCATACACTGCTTTCTAGACACCTGCATTTCTCCCTTAATGGGAGTGGGTTTTATGAGTTAAACAGATCAGTTCCTGAGACAAAAAAGCAAAAGGATTATTCATCTCTTGTTTGAGCTTCACTGATGAGATTGCATCTTGTATTTGAATTTTTGACAGGGCGGATAGCTACTCCGATCATTCATTTAAGCTTTACTTTATGAAACAGAAGTTTTGCCTACTGAACGGGTTATTTCTGATTTTGTTTCTGAACTTACCTGATATTTCTGTCTTGCAGAAAGCACCATTACTGCTACACTACAGACCCAAAATGGACTTGCTGTAAGAGAACTTTATTGTCCTTCTGGACACAGTTTTTTGCAGAGACTATCATCTGGCACCTTCTTAGTGCATCACTAATCACATGATACAAACCAGCTGAATAAATTTAGAAGACTGTAGGGCTTTCATAGCGAACTGTCCTTCTGAATATTTCTTCTAGGGATGTACTACCAAGAATTCTGAACAGAAAATATTTATACTTTTTTTGTACAAAAGAAGTAAGTCGCAACTCAACAAGACACTACCAGCACTAAGTTTACAGATACTGAAAGCACTTCACAGTTCTATGTAGCTCAGCCTGATTTATCTCTTACAGTTACACAGAAGTAAGTTAGAATGTTGTGGAGTGATTTAAAAATGTTGCTTTTGACACCAGGTTGCATTTAGTTAATTTTCACATTCTGAATCTTAAAAAACTATATTTTTGCAAGGTGTTATTGTCTTATATAGTATGCCTGATTGCATTGGCTTTATTCAAGTTACTCTGTAGACCATTGAAAATACCTAATGATATGGTGATAATTTATTATGCTGCATTGAAAACTTCTAAAAATCTGGGAAACCAATAAGTTTGTCATTCTTCCTAGTTACTGCTCTCCCTTGCTTTGTGTTTTAGTAAAGTTTTGATACTCCCTGATGCATGTTGATTTGGTAAGATTGATAGAAATTATTGCAGTTGATTTTAATATGCCCTGATATTTTGCTGTGGCATAAATTGCACCACATAATGACGAATACTCAAAAGTGCTAGATTTGTGAACTTAAAAAAAAAAACCCAAAATATTTCTTCTGAGTTGTGGCTTGCAGAAATCAGTTTTTAATTTAAAGAGAATTTGCGCTCACTAGCTATTGAAGCACTGGCGCTTGGGCTACTTTGGGTGATATCACAGTTTTCATTTCATTTATTAAGAATTCCTCAGATCATTATGAGCAGGTTTATACTTCCTTTACCTGTTTTCTTATGAAACCATAGTATTTTCTTTAGCACAGTTCCTAACTGTTGGGGGATGGTCAGACAAGATTATGTTAGCACCTTCTGGCCTTAACTGGTAATTTTGTTTGTATCAGCACTAATGGATGCAAGGTAATAATGCATGCATGTGTGTCTTCATACATCTGTACACACATTTAACTACGTATGTTATAGAATGCACCCTCAATAGCATTTAGCAGGGTTCACAGCACTTTTTGCAAGGCTTTTTGAGATAGTTGGCTTTTCAGAAAAAGTGACTGAAAGTGATTTCTGCAAGCTGCATACATTATGATACAGCATATATAGTAGGATAGAGTGTTTGTCTGGCATAAGTGTCAAGTCACTGAAAACAGGCTATGCCATGTTAATGACAGCTGGAAATCATTAACTTTCTAATTTTTGGAAGAGTTTTCCAGTGAGCTGAAAATGCTTGTTGCTATTCCTATTATTAAAGCCTGTATTTATATTTTTTTTAATATAAATTGTCTTTGGATAAGAAAACAACTTTGTCTGTAACTGTCCTGCTTCCTCTAGCTCTGCTCCTTCCCCTCTTCTGCTAGAAAGTGTTACTTGCTACTTGATAACAGGAATTTGATACTGCAAAATATTTATCCAAGCATTTTAAATCCTCTTTCTCTTCATGAGTTTTCAAAGCACCACATTCCTCAACACGTGTCCCAAAGACTCTGTCTTCGGAGTCTTCAGTCCTCTGCTGCTGCAGAAGGGATGTTCCAACTTGTGTTTATGTTTGAAAACAGGGTTCCTCATTTTTAATTACAGTCACAGATGTCAACGGGAAGGAAATCAAAAAGTGTGTGAGCTGAGAATGAAAGGGATCTTACTGAACTGTGGAGATTGAAGAGAGAACTACACAAAGGCCAAAAAGTGCTGCTGTCCTTACAGATGAGGATATGGGGATAGCTGCGTTTGAATTTCTTTTATGCAGAACTCTGCAGCTGGGTTTGGCTGTGTTGGAAAGGCAGGTGGGGGATGGCGTACATCCATATGAGCAATGGGATCCAACTTTGCTCTGGTTTTGTCTTACTGTTTGTGAACTCAAGTATATGTGTTTTGGAATTTTATTTTTTTTCCTGTCTTTAACATTACTGGAACTGGCAGAAAAGAACAAATGAGATAATGAGTCTACCATTTTTTCTAACCTTTTCATGAAACAGTGAATGCAGGTGGTATGGATGTGTACACAAACTGACGTACTAGGCCTTCTGGAGGTGTTCCCATGGTTATTAACTGTCCTACTGTAAATAAGGACTTTCTTTAGTCACTGAGGCACTGAGAATATAAACAGGGCTGTAAGTGTCCTCCCTCTCTGCACGCTGAGTATACAGACACTAGCTGTACCTGATGTAGATGTAAAATTATAGCATTCTGTTTAACTGACTTAATCAGGATACGTATATACATAAAAGCAAATGTATGTATTTGTGTGAGATCTGCCTATCTCAGAGTCTGTGTACTGCAGAAACTTTGTACAATGATACTGACGCGGTGCTTTTGAAGCACATTGGGATTTTAGTACTTTCCTATACTTAGTTGTGCAGCTGAGAAATCAGTTATAAGCATGTAAATTCACAAGTCTTTCAAATCTATCTCTTGCTGTAACAATCTACAGTATAGAACTGTATTTTTGTAAGTTTATAACCACTTTCAGAATCACTTGAATCTTTATGGTGCTATCAATATATTGAAAACTCTGCTTATACCTGTATGGATGCATACATTCAAGCCAGTATTCATAGAATCATAGAATGGTTTGGGTTGGAAGGGACCTTAGAGATCATCCAGTTTCAACCCCCCTGCCTGCACCTGTGTTTTGTTTTTTTTTTTACTCATAATTGTGTGTTACTGCTTTTGCAGTGTGCTTAATCTGATAAAACCTCACAAGTAAAAAGAAGAAAAATGACAAACAAATAAAAAGCCACCCAGTTATTTTTCTAAATCACATGTCACAATGTATTTGCTACGGAAACTGTGACTGTGTCTGGACTATATGTCAATTTCCTTTAGCCTTACGAAAAGACTACAGTGCAATTAAATGGAGGTCAGAGGGAGGTGTCCTAGGGTCACAGCCTTTTTTCACTTCTGTGAAGCCTGGGAGACAGTTAGTTTATATCAAGATTAGATTGGGTTAAACAAGTCTGATGCTTTTCAGAGTTAAGACTCAGCATAGGTATCTCTTTGTCCTTGTGAGATCAAGTTAGTTTATTTTGGCTTTTGTGAAGATGCCATTATGGCGAACTAGTTACCACAATTGCTTCTGCTGCAAATAACTGCAGTAAAGAAGTATCTTGTTGCATTATCCTCAGCAGCAATGAGACTGATAAATCACCCAGGTTCAGAGTCTCATTAAATATAGCTTCATTGAAAATAGATAATTCAGACAGAATATATAGTATTGAATTTAAATAAGATTGGGGGTGTTAAATTTTAACTTTATAAAATTATTTATTCTATTTTAAGCTTTCTGTCTTATTTTACCATCCAAGTATTTTTCTTTCAGTGATCCAGCTTTATTTACGGGCATATAAAATGAAATTGTAAGATGTTTTTGCAAGCTTCTTCCTTTTATGTTGAGTTTGAGTAGCTTTTGTTTGTTTTTGTTCTGTATGGATAAAAAGCATTACTTATGCTTTTGTGCAATAGGTTTGAAACATGCATTTATTAGACATATTTTTAAATTGTAAATGTAGCATCTACTTACCGTTAAATTTAAAAGGAATGTAGATGGCTTTTCTGAGTTGCTCAAATGGTTTTTTTATTTGGGGCTATGATTTGGAGGGTTGTTTCTTGATTTGTAGTTTTGGGTTTGTTTGCTTTTTCTTTAATTTTCAGAGTGAAGTGTGGGATTTATATTTGTGTAAGTATAAGAACTGTCTGTCAGCAATATTTTAAAATAAATGATCTTGCAAGAAACCTTAATGTGAACTGTGGAAGCAATCAGCAAGACTTGCAGCCTATCTGAAGATGCTTTGTGCCATTGTTATGTCTGGTATATTTGTGTACCATCAAACCTAGGAATATTTGTTTTTATTGGTTGTGCAATAGTATACACAACACTCACCTCTGGGGATATTGGACCATAAGAAATATCAGACCACAGATATAATGGTGCTATTTTTTCCCAATAGGCTATGAGCCTTTAAAAGCTTATCTGGCTCTTATTGTCTTTATAACATAGTCGTAGGAGATAGATTTTTTTTTTCTACTGGATGAGTAATAAAACTGTACAACTAGCCTGTTTTACAGCATTCAGCATCTTACCATTGAGCTAAAGATAATAGGAAAAAGCCAACCAATCTGTACATCAGCAAGATAAATCTTAACTAAGTACTTAAAATATATTTTGTACAGAAGCCTTGACTGTACAGAGAAATCAAGTTTCTGTATTTCCTCAGGTAATCAGTTTGGATGTTTCAATGGAAATGTTAATGCCACCTACGCTTCAGTTAGTCTACCTAAAGTTGGTAGCAGGGCAAGACTGTCCCATACACTAGAATCCCTACGTAAGCTATAATCAACTGTAACTAAGTTTTTGAGATCTGTTGTTGAAGTAAGTTGCAATGGGAAAAACATGAAGAAACATGGAACAGAGCTTTAATCTCTGCTTTAATCAATTTGCCAGTGACACAGATGCTTTCTAGGAACTTGGGTCTTGTTGCAAGTCATCAGTAATTTTTTTACTATAGTTTTACTATGGAGTTACAGTTTCATCTGTAGACAGATTAAAGCTCTGGTCCTGCTATTTGATCCATGCTTGATCATCCTTAGGGATTCTTGGAAATCTTTTGAAGCCACAATGACCTGAGAAGACTGTAGTGGTAGGATAGGAACTAAACATCCAGTTCTATGGAAACTTACATTGGCAACTTTATGAATAGCTTCAACAGTTCCACAGAAAGCAGTGGGGTCATTCGTGTGAACGGTTAGGCTGAAGGAAGGATTTTTGAGTACTGATGTTCCACTTTTTTTTTTTTTTTTTTTTTTGGACTAAAGCATTGGTTTAGTGGAATCTTACATTCAAGTGATTTACCTGGACAAAAGGAGAGTTTGTTCTTTCCTCCTGCAACAAGATTTTATGGTTAAGGGACAATAAGCCAGTGCAACCACTAAGCCTTTATCCTCATATGTGGCATAATAAAGATTCTGGAACTGTCACAGTGTAAAACCATATTTTTGGCTTAGCTTCATTTGAAAGTTTACAGTTTTTTATGCTTTGTGTTGCTGTGTAATTTTTGTACTATTGGTGGCTAGTTTTGTCTGAATAGCCGTTGGGGATTATTGCTTAATGTTTTGATTTTATGATAGTGAAGCTTGTATCCAGTGTTTTGCCAATTAATATTATATGCTTGTTAATAAAAGCAGAGAAGCTAACTGAAATACTGTCAGGCTGGAAGTTATTGTCCCATTTTTCCCCAAGAACATAAGGAACCTAGCCATCATAATACCATAGTGTTGAACAAAGTGTGACTGAAACAATGGTGGTGAGCCATTGCCTTATGATCAGCCTTTTACTCAAAACACAAGCATGCCCAAAGCATTACTCCACTAAATGGAATGGCCATATGTCTGTGACAAGTGTGTGACAAATACCTGCTGGTGGGGAAATGAAATGGCTTCAGCTACGAAAAGGATAACACAGCTGCCCTGATGTGTTTATGTATGGATGGAAAGGTACTTACCCAACCTATATGTGTTGATGTACAGGGGCTGACTGCAGCATAACAGAACACATTCACTTAGATACGTGACAAATAGGCATATCCACACACATTCCAGTTTTAATTTTAGTTTGATGTGCTGCTAGGGGGAGAAAGGTCTCTTACTTAGAGAAGGCTTTGATTAATGAACTGCATGTATTTTGCCTTTTTAAAAATCAGTCTGTTTTGGTATTGCAAACATTGATGCTTGCCCTCTCCATAACTTCAAGACCTTTTTTCCTTCAAAATCCTTGAGACTTACTATCCTAGGTTCAGCTGTAATAGCTATTTTTCTCCTTCCTGGTAGGTGGTGCAGGTCTGTGTTTTGCTTTTAGTCTGGGAACCAATGCTTTAGTTGTTGCTAAATAATATTTACTCCAAACAAGAACTTTTCAGTCTCTCCTGTTCTGCTAGTGAGGAGGGGCACCGGAAGCTGGGAGGGAGCAGAGACACCGGACACCTCATCCAAACTGGCCAAAGGGATATTCCATACCACAGCACGTCATGTGCATTGTATAAACTGAGGGGCATCATCCAGAAGGCCCAGATCACTGCTGTGGCCTGTCTGGGCATTGGTTGGTGGGTGCTGAGCAATTTTATTGTGCATCATTGGGTTTATTCCCCCCCCCCCCCTTCCATTTTTAGTGTTATATTTTCTCCCCGTTATTTCTCTTACCATTAGTAGTAGTTTCATATTATACCTTAGTTACTGGACTGTTCTTATCTCAATCCATGGGGTTTACATTCTTTTGATTTTCCACCCTGGAGATTTTCCACCCTTGATTTTTGCTGGGGGGATGGGGGAAGGAAACACGGGGAGGAGTGAGTGGCTTCTGAGTTACCGGCTGGCTTAAACTATTACACTTTAATACCTGAACAGAGCAAAGGTATGGGGGAATTTTTAGATAAAATTAATTGAAATGCCTAGTTGAGGTAATACTGCTGCAAAGAGGATGATGCCAGACTCCTTCCAGTGGTGCCCAGCGACAGGATGAGAAGCAATGGCCATGAAATAAAGCACAAGAAGTTTCACCTCAACATGCGGAAGAACTTTATGTTAAGCGTGGCATAGCAGCAGAACAGGCTGCCCAGGGGGGTTGTGGAGTGTTCCTGCGTAACCTCCTCTTGGTGGCCCTGCCTTGGCAGAAGGGTTGGACTGGATGTTCTCCAGAGGTCCCTTCCAACCCAACTGATTCTGCGATTCTGTGAAAACAAGCTGCAAAGCAGATGCACACTACTTGTATTTCTTACAGTATCTATTTGTAGTACCACAAAAGTATAGCTTGTGAACTGCCCTATAGATAGAAAGAAGGGCTTTTATTCCTGCTGTCGGCTTGTTAGGAAGTACTGACAACTATGAGCTGGTTTTATTCATACATATGCATTTCTTAGTTGCACTGACAGTACCAATGTGTAATTGTCCTGAAATCAGGCTTCTGCCAGTTAATAACTTCACTTATATACCAGCATGAGAGACCTGGAGCAGAAAGGTCCCTTTGGCTTTGTAGAGTCACTTAAAAGTGACTCAATGTTACCACTAATTGAGCAAGTGTTACATTTTGTAAATCTTCTATGTGCTCAGTATTAGTGGTTCTAGTACTTCCCTGAACAGAAGTTCCCTGGTTCTAACACTTCCCTGAGCATTGGTTGCTTCCATCTACTCTACGAGAGCTGCAGGCAAATGTTTGGTTGTTTTGGTTAGCTAGCAGCAACATATGCAGTGGAAGCATACGTGTCTGAGACAGCAGCTTACTACTGCCACCAAGTATTTGTACACTGTTTGCTTACAGCTCAGTAACAAGAATCAAAAATCATAGAATCAGGAATCAATTAGGTTGGAAAAGACCTTTAAGATCACCAAGTCCAACCATTACCCCAGGACTGCCAAGACTACCACTATACCATACCACCGAGAGTTTCATCCAAATGGTTTCTGAACACTTCCAGAGATGGTGATTCCACCACTTCCCTGGGAAGCTTGGTCCAATGCCTGAGCACCCTCTCCGTGAAGAAATTTTTCCTAATATCCAATCCAAGCCTCCCCTGGTGCTGTCTGAGGCCATTACCTCGTCCTATTGCTTGTAACTTGGGAGAAGACACTGACCCCAACCTCACTACAACCTCCTTTCAGCTTGTGTAGAGAGCAGTAAGGTCCCCCTGAGCCTTCTGTGCTCCAGACTAAACAATCCCAGTTCCCTCAGCCGTTCTTCGTAAGTCTTGTGCTCCAGAACCTTCACCAGCATTGTTGCCCTCTTCTGGACCTGCTCTAGGACCTCAATGTCCTTGCAATGAGGGGCCAGCACTGAACACAGTATTCAAGGTGTGGCCTCACCAGTGCCCAGTACAGGGGGATGATCACTGCCATGGCCCTGCTGGCTTTGCTATTTCTGATACAGGCCAGGATGGAAGCAAGTAGCCTTTTACTGAGTGCTGAGTTGCACAAATACTTTGGTGCTACTGCAGTGCTCTTAGTATTCGCCATGTGTTTCATTTGGAGTTCAAACCAGTCTCACGGAAGGGAGCGAAGTTCAAAAGGTGTCCTCCACACAACTCGTAACACAAGAAATGCAACCTGAACAGAATTGCTGGAGAGTGATGCCAAATGTGGTGAAGGAAATGGCAAACTAGACTGACCAGATCATGGCCAAGTCAGAGAAGAGAAGGCTTCAGGGAGACCTTAGAACAGACTTTCTACAAGGGCATGTAGTGATAGAACAAGGGGAAATGGCTTTAAGCTGAAAGATAATAGATTTAGAAGAGACATTAGGAAGAAATTCTTTACTATGAGGGTGGTGAGGAACAGGTTGTCCAGAGAAGCTGGCAATGTTCAAGGCCAGGTTGGATGGAGCTTTGAGAAACCTGGTCCAATAGAAGTTGTCCCTGCCTGTGGCAAGGGGCTTGGCACTACCTGATCTTTAAGGTCACTTCCAACCCAAACCATTCTGTGATTCTTCTATGAAGTTCATGGGACCTAGTGAGAAGCCTCCCAGGGCCCTGAAGGAGCTGGCAGATGTGGTTTCCAAAGCACTCTCCAGCATATTTGAAAAGTCACAGCAGTCAGGCAAAGTTCCGGTGATTGGAAACAGGGAAACTGCACCTGTTTTCAAAGGAGTAATAAGGAGGCCTCTGGGAACTAACCAAGTGCTCAGTGTCACCTAAGTGCCTTGTAAAGCCATGGAACAGATTTTTCAGGAAGTTTTGTTGAAGTACATGGTTCACAGAGATGTTAGAGACAGACCACACGCCTTAACCAATGGGAAAGCATGCTGAACTAGCTGACTGGATACCAGTTGACTGGTACCAAATGAACCACAGTACTGTACTCCCAAGACCCAGTTTTTTCTTTCTGCTCCTTTCGGCATGATCCTCTAACGTTATAGAGTGATTCATAGGAAGAGCTCCCAGATGCCAGCAGTGAGGCAGGAGGAGCTCCAGGCTGCCCAGAGGAAAAGAGCCGCCATAGCCAGGTAACGGCCCTTCCATCTTCTCCACAGGAGGCTGCAGGGCCACAGGCTTTAGCAGACCTCTTGCCTGAAGAATGAGCAGAACTTCTTTAATGAGACCAGTGTCTGCTTGATCCTGTGCTGCCCTGGCTGCTCCAGCAGCTGGGGGCAATATAGGGGGCCCGTTGGCAGGTGGCAGAGAATGCTGAGGCCACAATGTTGCATGCCTACTGCCTCTATGGCCCGAGTAGGCAGCTCATGGTCCCAGTTCTGCACCCCTTCCTCGAGGAATATACAGAACTGCTGGTCAATGGCATCATCAGGATCACTGAGGGCCAGAGCACTGCAGAGGCCCAGAGGCTGCTGCTCTCCTGCACTGACCCAGAGGAGGCCGACCCGTCCGTGGCCAGCTCCCTAGCCTCCTCCAGCAGCTCCAGCCACACCACCTCAGTGGAGAATGCAGACTGGGAGCAGGAGCAGGGCACATTCAAAACCACCCTCCACAGGGTTCCCGGCTGCACCCCACCTGTGCCCACCTCTGTGGAGCACAAGCAGGAGCAGCTCCAGAAGGAGCCAGGGCCGCAGTGTCAGCAGGTCCCTCTGCCCAAGGCTGCAGCTGCTCCGCTCTGAGGTGGGCCAGGGGCCGCTAGCCCAGGAGGTCCAGGTGTGCCCCAGAGAGGAAGTCCTCCAACCCTGCAAGACGCCATGTGTCCAGCAGCACTAGCAGGGCTGCTGCAGCTCCTTGCTGAGGGGAATAGTTTCCCCTCACACAGTTGCTGGCTGCTAAATTTTTTGTTAAGCAGAACTTTATAGTTTTACTGATCAACAAAGAGTGGTATAAAACTTATATCCCTCCTCACTTTTTCTTTGCAACCAAAAACAGTTAGGAAAGACATATAGGCCCATAAATACCCTCATCTGTAACACTTAGCATCTCATTTGTCTCTGGAAAATCAACTAATCAGCTCTTAGAAACAAGAAACAGAAATGCTTCACCATCAATAAAATCACTGACAATATAAGCTGCTTTACGCAGACTGTTCTTCTGCACGTGCTATGTAAAAGCCCCCAGGCTTTTGTTCATACTATGAAGAATATAATACAAAGAATGAACAAGGAGTTAAATTCTTATGGCCTGGGTTTTATTTCTTTTACTACCAGTTTATTTACATTGCCTAAACTGTGTTTTGTATTTTTTTTAGGTGGTGATATTTATAAGGCTGTCCATTGAAAAACA